TAGTCTACCTATACCAGTTAATTCACGATCATTTGTTGTAAAATCAGGGGGGTGGAATGTTTTCCCCTCCTTATACGTCTTCCTTCAAAACTCTTCAATGCACAGAAATATCTCTTCTCCAATCAACAAAACATTCATCCACCAATAACTGATCCCCTAAACGTAAAATGAGTATCTCAGCAACCCTATGATTCTCCGGTTCCAAGTGGAAAATAGGGCTTCAGTAGAACGTCTCTGCTTCACTCTCTTCTCTGCGATCTTTTCAATCTGGCTCCACCACTGTCCACATGTTTTCATTTCCTCCTCACATGATCGCCTCCATGTCACCCTCGCCTCACACACCCAACTCGTCCTTTCCCATTTACTTCCCACTCGACGACCTGGCCTCACGCATGATGTCCACGAATGGATTTCTCACTACATGTCCAATCAAATTAATCTCCACTCCCTTCCAATGCATATTTGTTGAGTGATAGGTTATTGCTTCGTTGGTTCGTTACCAGCCAACCAGCCAACCAGCCAGAGTCCCTTCCTGCTTATTCTTATTCTTCTGGCCATCTGATCTTCAGAAATGAGCCAATGTAGGAAGTTGTTGATGGATGTCTGTAGTTTATTGGAAATCCCTTTCGTAACACGCCAAGTCTCTCAACCATCACACAGAAGCACTGACTTACTTGACTGAATTGGTGTTGGGAATCCGGATGTTGTTGACGCTTTATGCTGAGTGCAGTGTAGTAGATCTCCACACTGATTTCAAGTTAATCAACGCCTGTCTTGCTGTCTTTCTGATCCTGGCTGCTTTGACGTCCTCATCTGTGTCTGTGCCGCCACCTGTAGTTGAAACGATGCTGCCTGCCTAGGTAGGTGAAAGAGGCTACTTCCCTTAAATTTCTCCCGTTCATGGTGATTTGAGCTTCTTCTTCTTGTTGTTGATGCTGTGGTCGGTTGGGCATCTTCATCACCTCTGTCTTTTCTATATTCACCTGAAGTCCCATATTCCTTCACTGCCTCACCTCTTCTATCAACTTGTTAGTTTTTGCCTGTACATCTTCGACTTAGTGTGACATTACACACAAGTGATGGTTGGCGAAATGCAAATCTTCTTGTAGGATCTTTCTTCCGGTGTAGTCAGTGTATCCCCCTCTTCTCACACCTCCTCACTGTTTGTTGCATGATCCAGTCCAGTCAACCACAATGAGTAATATGATGGGTGATAGATAGTAGGTGGGAGCCTTGTTTTACTCCTGTCTTCACTTCACTTGAAAGGCATGAGTGAGGTTTCGATTGTGGATCACTTGGCATGTGGTGTCTTCATATAGGTTGATGAATATTTGTTGCACTGAAACCGTAGTATTGAAGCAGTTGCCAAATTACTTCTCCATCGACGCTGTCATAGCCTTTTTAAAGTCGATGAAGTTGAGGTAGAGAGTTGACTGCCATTCTATACTCTCTTCTATCTTGATGTTTAGGGTTGCAGTTTTGTGCACATGCGATTTGTACTTCCTGAATCTAGCCTGCCTGTTCCGGTCGTAGTTTTGAATCCAGTGCATCCTTTAGCCTCTCCAAGATGATGCGGCTTAATATTTTGCTTGCTGTGGGTGGACAGGAGAGTGATTATGCGCCAGTTCTTGCAAACACTGAGGTCTCCCTTCTTCGGGAGTATGACAAGGTAACCCTTCTTCCAATCAACTAACAGGTACCTTTCATTCCTTCCACACCTTCTGCAATAGTGGTGTGGTGTGAGCATGTCCGCTGTTGTCTCTGCATCTGTTTTCAGTGCTTCTGGCGGGATTCCATCTGGTCATACAGCTTTCCCGCACCTCAGTAGCTTTTTGGCGTTCAGGACTTCGACTTTCGTCGGAGGGCTTATGTTCACTGGTAATTCTGTGGCTGCAAGTTGTATTTCTGGACGAGTTGTAGGTGGTGATCGATTCAAGAGCTTTTTGAAATGGTCGACCGATCGTTTCATTTGTTTCTCTTCTTTGGTGGTTGAACTTCCTTCATCATCTTTTATTGGTTTCATCTGTGCTGTGTTGATCTCTTCCCTGCCAGATAGTAACCTGGTTATTTGATACAATGTTGTCAGGTCTCTCTCTCTCCTACCTGGAGCCTATTCTTCTTCACCTGCCAATGTGTTGTAGAAGTGTATTTTGTCTTTGCGCTTCCTCCTCTTCACTTTCTTGTCCAGTGTTGTGTTTAATACGTTGTAATCAGTTCCTCCTCTCTTTAGGCATCCTCGCACTAGTTCAGCTTCTGCTTCACCATCTTCCTCTCCTCTCTCAGGTTGCATGTGTCCGTCGAGATCCATTCCTTATCTTCTTTCCTCCTCCTACCTAATACGGTTGTGCAGGTTTCCTTCCACATCTCTTTCAAAGATTCCCAGTGTTCTTACACACAGGTTCTTCACGGATGTTCCTCGATATCTCCCACTTTTGCTTGATGGCTGTCGTGAAGATTTCTTTTGTAGTTTCGTCCTTCACTTTCTGTTCCGGGTGTTGTACTTGAACTGTGGTCTATCACCAACTTCTTTTGAAGGCTTTTAACTTGATTTTGAAGGTTCCTTGCACTAGATAGTGGTCTGAGCCTACATCTGCTCCTCTTCTTGACCTTGTGTCAAGTAAGCTGTGTCTCCAGTCTCTTCACATTGAGATAAAGTCGATCTGATTTTTAGTGTATCCTGGTGTCTGGTGAAGTCCATGTCGCTCACTTTGTGGATATCCTTGTGCTTGAACACACTGCCTCACTCCAATCACCAAATCGTTGAATGCACAGAATTCTGCAAACAATTCTCCATTCTCATTCATTTCACCGAGTGTTTCTTGACCCATGGTTACTTCTCTTCCTGTGTTGTCTGGTCCCAGTTTGGCTGGCATTCATGTCATCCCACTCATTAGAATGAATTTTGATGTCACCACTTGATATGGAGTCTTGTCCAGTGTTGATTGCAGTTGTCTGTCGAGTTCCTTCTTCTTCTCTTGGTGTGCATTATTTGTAGGTGCGTAGCGTAGTGTAGCATTGTATGATTGTGACTTTCCTTCCATTTGAGTTGAACATTGCTGTTATGATCCTGGGGGAGGAGATTGGTTCCCAGTGTATGAGAGAGAGAGAGCCTTTGATGCTGTTGGGGACATCATGATATCCACTGGAAAACTCAGTGTGTTGGTGGTTGTCGTGTGGGTGACAATATCGGAGTAGATTACTGATTCTGCAGTTGACAGTTTGGAGAGTCCACTCCCATTCCATCTGCTCTCGCAAATTCCAAGCACTTCAATGTGACACCTTCCCATCTCCTCTGCAATCTGGACAGCCTTGCTGGGTTGAAACCTGGTGTGGACATTCCATGTCCCCATGTTTACTTTCGTTTTGATCGAGAGAGAGAGAAGACACATCGGCCAATTGGCTTTCCGAAGGTTCTCACCAACCGGCATCATTTCGTCTCTCTGATTGCAGCGATGAATAAGTTTGTTTTTATTTTGTGTCTGTGCTTTGAAGTTTCTTTAGCGATTGGATTGGCTTTCCGCGGTAGGGTTGCTAGCCGTATGGTCAAGCTTCCGTCTTAACCCGGGCTTAGGAGTGGCTAGTAACCAGGTCAGAGTTCCTTTTCGCTTATTCTTTCTGGCCATCTGATCTCCATCTTCAGTACGGAGTGAGAGTAGGCGGCAGCTTTCAATGAATGTCTGTAGTTTGTTGGAAATGCTTTTCGTGACGCGACAGGTTTCCGAACCGTATTAGCAGCGCTGAGTTCACGTTGGTGTTGGAATTACAAATCAGTAACACCACATAAAGCAGGTATATCTGATTCCACATTTCCTGGATTACACTCACCTCAAGTATAACCTGTCTAATCTTAGCTCTTCACCTCGCATATATTAATTCAACTGTTCCCGTGGAACAGTTTACATAGGGTGTACAATTAGGCACGTGCATCTACACATACCAGAGCATTTACCTGCTTGCTTCAGAAAACCTGAAGTCAAAATGGTGAAACCTTCTGTCCTCGCATATCTACTAGACACGTGTGCTAATAAACCTTTCAATGTTGTCATACATCGTATGCCAAAAATAATATCAAGTGTAGCTCCTCGACGCCTCCACAACATACCTGAGGTTGTCACAATAAAACTGATGAAACCTGAACTGTGCATTCAGAAAGATCATATTCAAACTTAACTCCTCCTTAAGACCGACGGCCACTCCAGTCCTTAAGTCTCACTCCAGTTTTTCACAACAAATTCGCTTCGAACTTCTCTTGAGTTTACGCTATCCAAATGCATCTTATAATTGACAAGAAGATTCTTTATTCTTTCAATGTTATGTGACGGAATCTTTAAATGTTTCCAACAGATTTGAAATGCTTAGATCATTGACTCGAAGAAATACATTCCAACTTTAAGTTTTCAAAATAAAACATCCTATCACTATCCAATTATATTTAGAGCGAAGAAAATTCAGTTGATCAATAACTTCTCAAAGTAATGAAGTAGGTTATAGTTAGTTTGCCTCTGACTATACTAGGTAGACTATTCGTTTCTTGAAACAATTAAAACATTCAAAGATCTGAATAACTTTTAGTGTTTCATTATAGGATAAAATAGGTAATGGATATTAATCAGTTTATAAATCTGTCCTTGGAGAAGTTTATTTTTGAACGAAATGCATCATTCATTTGTGGTCGGCACTCATTATATCGCTGATAATGACGAAATCGTTTCAGATTTCAATACAGCATGCCAAGCAAGATCGAAATGCATTCAGCAACCGTGTACACAATCAAACAATAGATGATGAACCACACTTTCCTTCCACGAGCTAATGATATTAACCGGTTGTTCATACCTCGACAGGTAGAGTGGGGTTCGAACCCATGACTTACTTCTCGGAGGTCAACTGCCTCAAACTATGAGCCATAGATCTATTTCAAACATAATCCCACCTCGTATTTGTATTACAACCTAGTCAGTTCATTCCCATGTAAAATTTGAGTAGGAAGAAAAAACATTGAAAAATGGATGACAAACTTCATGGTTATTACAGACAATTCAACTCAAATCATGATGGTATCCACCTTGTAGGAGTGGAAAGTACGGACAACAGTCAAATCACAACTACTCCATATCCATACATAAAAAAGCAAAGGAGAAGAAAATCATATATAGTGAGTGAATGACAAAAGAAGTCAAAAAATTTTACACTACAAATAATGCAGAAGAGAAAATCAAATATAACATGGAATAAGCTGAAGAACAGCAACGTTATAGAATTGTACTACTTATATCCGTATTAAGTAGTTCAATTCTCACTTCATAAAATCATGCACTTCCAGTCATATGTAGAACGAAGGAATGCGGTAAATATGCTTCCTCTCTACAAAATAGAGGCACAGACATTAATTCAACGAACACAGACATTCCTCATCACGTTAAAACACTTTAAAATACAAAATAACCAAAAAAAAAAAAACGGAGGTGAGAGATGAAAAGAAAAGCTGGAGGAAAATATCCCTTTGAAAAAGGCCTAAAAGAAAGAATAATATTATTTTCTGTTTCCTTATTAAATAACATATTGACAAACAAACACAGACATAAGCAATGACTAACCGAATGGCAACAAAATGCAATGCGAATCCCTCCTAGTTACTTTACTGACTGATTGATGGCAGACAGAATGAATGAATGGCTAGTTGAAAATAGTGCAAACCATCAGTGGAGGGTACGGGGAGGGGGGAAGCAAGAGGCGAGAGAAAACAAAGATAAATGCAGTTAAAAGGAAGATGCAAATAAAATGTCAAGCTGTCTGATATTGTCACTTATCTCTTATCATAAAGAGATGGAAGAATGAGAAAGAGTCAAGGTGAGGTAAGTAAAACAAAGTGATTGGACAAGAATCTTGTATCCATGATAAAGAAGTATGAATGAAAATGAAATAGGCTCATTAAATATCCTCTTGGTATTATGATGAATGCTTTCCAGATTGTTCATCACTAGAGCTGATTGAAGGTGTAGATGATACTCTATGGCTTGCTTCCTGACGTTTTGCAGCCAACTGACGTTCTAATTCAGCTAAAGCAGGCGGTAGAAGATTGACAGCATTTATACCATGACAGAAGACACGAGCTGGTCTGACTAGTAGACCATGACCAGGACGACAAGTGAAATAACGTCTACCTGCAACAGATCCATCATGACGACCACGTGGTTTACGCAGTTCAACACCGAGCCAAATACCATCAGCAAATGTTATAGGCCCAATGTAACGAACAACACCTGTAAACAGAAAAAATTTTCATTGGTTGCTTGACTACCAAAAACAACACACAACATCATGAAATATGGTTAGAGGTAAATATCTCTAAACACGAAGAGTAAACTAACTAGGAGATAGGAGCATTAAATGCAGTTACAGAAAGCAGACAATAGGCAATGAGAAACAACATCGATAGATCGGTGAAATAGTCATCCAGCTTAACTGAGCACAGTGTTTATCTACTAGAGGCTATAAACCGTTCTTGTTGTATGAGGGTATATGAAAGTACTTCGTTGTTCAGATCGAAACAGATGGAGTTGGCAACGAACCCAGTAACCAAATCCACGTTTATGTAGTAGACAATGAGGCAAACCGATGGTGCCACAGCTATAATACATAATACCACCTAACTCCCAAGACCTCAACAGATGAAGTGGGCTTCATGCCAAAGATTATGCAACAATTGTAAATGGAATGTCAGGATGTAACTGTCAATAGTCATATGTTCAGGTCAGTTAACCATGATCCTGTTGATGATCAGAAAATCCACTAGTAAATAAGAACAACCTTAACAACTATGCTAAACAGTAAAATAAAAATGTAATCAGCAGTCGGACCTCCTGGCTCAGTTGGTAAAACAGCTGGTCGCTGGTTCGAATCCGGCCGCGGTCAAAATTTCCATTCCACCAGTATCAGTAATACCAGTCTGCCAAATCATGGCAATCTCAGATAGTTAAATGAAAATCAATATGATGCTCTCCTTCTCTAATTCACTTAGATTGGGATTGAGATGAGAAGTCTTGACTAAGCAGCCAATGTCAATTAGATCAAGCGGTAGTAACACGTCACGAATTCACATGATAGTCGCGCAAAACAAGCCTTGGTGATTGGATTGAAATAGAAAGATTCTAGTCAGCAGTCGAACCCTGTAGCTTAGTTGGTAGAGCATCGTATCGGAAACTCGATGGTCGCTGATTCGAATCCGACTATGGTCCAAATTTTCATTTCACCTTCAATCATTATCTAGTATAAACAGGTTCTCCAAAACTTACTAATCTGTAGTTAGTTTATATACTCTGGTCAAAGGCCTACAAGTTTCTTTCGACATTTAGATCAGATATTAGACTTTGAAGAGAATATTAGCAATAAATTCTGCTCGAAACATCATCCAGTTGATAATACTTTATCACACTGTGTGTGGAGATGGATTGGGCATACACTGAGAAAAGCATTCGAGGACATCTCGGGTCAGGCCAGTTGCTCGAGTGGAACCCAGATGGGAAACGACGAGTTGGGCGTTCGGGGGTGACATGGAGGAAGGAGACCGTGCGAGGAGGAAATGAGGGCTTCTGGACTGTCGTGGAGCCAGGTTGAAAAGATTTCAGAGAACAGAGTTCACTGGAGACGTTCTACTGAAGCCCTATGTTCTATTAGGAACCCAAGGTACAAATAATAATATAAATCACACTGTGTGCTGACTATAATCGGATAAACAGTCTGGTATGGAATTACACTCTACAACAATTACCAAGGTTTACTCTTACATTACTTGGGATAAGTATGTTTCTTCACAAGACAAAAAGTTGCATTTAATTACCATCTATTAATCTACAAAGACATATAAAATTATGAATGCAGGTAAAGTTATTGAAACCCTCAAACACATGAAGAAAGAAACCCATAGACAGGCAGTAAATTACTGAGGCAAACCACTAACTCCTTTAAACTCAAACATAACAGTCTCCTGATTACTAATCTATCTATGTGGAAAGATGAGTATAAATGGGCTATATGAACAGTATTCATAAAGATATGAGATTGTCAGGCAGATCTGGATGCCTAATTGGCAAGTTCTTTGATATATGATAAGATATTCTTTTGATAACGACCCTATATGCATTCTTCCGAGGTGATTACTACTTCAGATACAACTAAGTAGATAGATATTATGGAAGGTAATTAGACGAGCATCTCATGTTTCACATCGACAACTAAAGACTCTAGGTGATACGCCTCAGAATCTGTAGCCAGAATGAATGAATGAATGAATAAGAGCAACAGCTGATCAATTAATAATCTCCTTCACATTTCCATCTTTCCTTCTTATTCATGGACATTCTGATTAAGCTGCCAAACACTTTTAATGCCTTGTAGATTTCCTATATGTTCTACAATATACAATCTACTAAGCACATAGAGTCTCCACGGCCTATCTCAACATAATATTCTAGGGAAATTTGAATCGGGTTAGAAGAGAGTTCAAGGTGGTCAGATGAAGACGTGACACCAGTCGATAAAGTCTAAGTTGTGTTAGGAGATGTAGACTCCTTTTTAGGGGGTCCCCTAGACAATAAGAATTAGTGTTTGAGAACTCTTGGTGATATAATTGAAAATCGGTCACAGTTGTGTAGATGTGATTCAAGCATCTAAGATATAATGTATCAGATGCTTTGAATTTAGTTTTCTCGATAAGAGCTGGTAAATCTTGTCCTAGTTGATAAAAGCTTAAACATGGCCAGACTAAAACATCACATCAACAATAGATCTTTGAATATTCATCTAAGCTGTATACGAAAATGTAGGCTCAGAAGCCATCTAGATGACGAGTAGGCATCCAAACACTTTCTCTTCATCGTAATCATCATACGACATATCGTTAGTGTTTTGTTCCCCCTCTTACTCTCTGACTATACCTTTCTATGACTTTCTTTCTTATTTCTTCACATTTTATCCTGTTACCTTATTATCTTCGATATTTCTGAAGTGAGATATGACAACTTGGATCGCTGCATACCTTATCCCAAGTTTCATGTTCATATTGACTGACTGGTCAGCTAACATATCAATTAATGACAATTAAATAACGTGATTTCCTAAATGTAAACCATGTGAGGATGTAGATGATATCAGGAGCTGTCGTCCACCACTGCATGATCAATACCAATCTGAAATCGATCAAATCGCCCACAAAGTATGATGTGATGATGTTAAATGTATATACGATTGACAAAGAAACAAGGAGGTTAGTGAACAAATGTTACTTAATCCCTGGATACTGAAGAATGTAGCGGTGAAATCCTAATTGCTGAAACGAAGTCTATCAACATTTTTCTGATAACCTGTACAACATTCTAATGGCAACGGTAGTCGTGTACTACATCTATTTTCACCCATCAGAATTGAGTTAACAGAAAGTTGTTTCGTAGTTAATGGCATTCATCAGAAAGACTTATCTGAAAACTTCAAGAATACTCATATCCAAATTTGGGAGTTTGTGATTTTTCAAGTTGGTATTCATCGCAGACTGACATCGGTTGGAGGAACATAGGAAACCTGGGGGGCGCTGTTTCGTCCTAGTGCGGGACTCTTGAGCGGCGCGCACCCATGACCCCACCAGGGATGGAACTCGCGACCTTCAGGTTCCATGGCCAACACGTTACGATTGAGACACTGGGTGGGGGGAAGGGACCGAATGGTCCACATTTCCAACTTCCGTCAGTTCACTATATAGCATGGCCGCCACCCAATGTCATAGTTGGGTATGGTATGTGTCTTAGTGACCAGTTTTTAACCATATTATAAATACGCGTTACTAGCGATCTGGAGACTTCTTCAGCAAGGTAATCGTCATGGTTCATATGACACACACAACCCAGATTCCTAGCCTATAAATTTACGTACTAGGCTCACTGTTGAACAGTCCCACGCTAGAGCAAAACACTTTACCAGTGCTCCTAGGTTACCAGTGTTCCTCTAACTGATCTCAGTGCATGATAAATACCAACTTGAGAAATACTCATATCTTCCTTAGACATAAATAATGAATTCTTGTTACTAGTTGTCCTCTAATGAAATTAGTCACTTCATTTTTCAAAATTTTTTTTTCAGAGCATAGCTGGAATTCAATTCATACACTGACTGCACCGAAATGTGTTGAGCGCTCTCTGATTGAGAATGGAAACCAAGTAGTAGGCGAATAAGTTAACCCAATCTCAATCATGATGAATAGACTGAAGCATAGGCATTACATGTAACATGTAACAATGAATAAAATTAAACTAACCTATCTCTCCAGCACATAGAACTTGCATTCCTTCAGATAAATAAAAGACAGGTTCTTCAGCTGATTCTGTAGGCACTCGACCAACTGCTTTTAAAGCATTCACTAATTCTATAGGTAGTGGTGGTCGACCGATTACAGAACGTCCTATCATTGGAGATGTTGTAGTTGACCATGGTGTACGTGTAAATGATTTAGATGAATCAATCAACTCTGAATGATATGATGTAGTCATTAAAGTATCATGTTTATGAATTGATTGTAGATTTGGTGTATTACATCGTGATGGTAATTTTTGTATACGATTAATCGGTGCAAATATACCATGACCAATAGGGCAATCAAAATAACGTACACCATGTATTGAACCATTATTTTTACCAACAGGTTGTTCTAATTCGACACCATACCAAATACCTGGAGCAAATTGTGTCTCACCAATAAAACGAAGTACACCTCTACGTTGACCAGCAACTAATACACGATCACCTAAATGAAATTGATGCTTTTGATTGATATCCGGTGAACGTATTCGTAAACCTAAGAACATAGAGGGTGGAAAACTAAGTGATAACATTCAATGGATGAATAAAACTTGTCATCATTCCGTGAACATCTCTTTATAAAAGAAGACAGACAATTCTCAGTCAGAAATTAAGAAGTTGTTTTTACTCATCATAAGGCAGGGGGGGGATAAACTGGCACGATAATATATACAATTGAGAAGTGATAAGTGAAACAAGATGATAAATGAAAACAACAAGTGCTTATCCACAGACTAATCGACATTTAGGTGATCACTGACTCAGAACATAAGTATCATGTTTGTTGATAATTCCTTCGAAGGGATATCTTCAGTCGTCTCCACATACCCCCCGACAAACATCACGTAACTAGTAAGGTATTACGTTTATGATTAAATTCTTAATGCAAAGTAGCAAAAGTACTATAGTAGTAACGTCTCCTTTACTGCAAGACTGTGGTGGTATTGGTTCAGGCTTTCTTAGGAGTATCAGTTCCTTTAGAGTTTCAGGCACATCCAGCTGTGACAAGTATCAAAATTTATGAAACTAACGTTTATCTAACAGAGAATAAATTGCACGATAACTTGATTGGTGATAGAATGGTAAGCTTCATGGACATAGTTCAAAATACTCCAGTAATAGATCAATACAAATCCTTCCGAAGTAGTAGTAACATGATTAAGTGTAATGCTAATAAAAGCTTAAAAATTTCTACTCCTTAATTAACTAAACAACACCAATGATATCACTCCGTTTCTATCCACCTGTTCTACTATGAAGTTAAGGCTGTTTTGTATAGCTCAGTGTTTCTACCTTTATAATTTATTAACTCTTGCATTTTACCTATTCTTCTCTATTGCTCCCTGTTGATCTTTCCTGGTCTACTAAAAGAAGACTATGTTATATTGAGAAAGAATTTGAAAGCTATCAGTCAGTAGGATGATTGATGTGCCTCTGGTCCAACTAATTAACACTGTAGATCACAAAGACATTGAAATTCTAGCAAGTAACTAGCTACAGTAATTTTAAGTGACATTTAGCATCCACTTTATTCACAGCCCTCTCCTTGTATCTCCTCAGGGAGGATAAGTAGAAACTACATAAGATTGTACGCTCGTACAACAAAGTACAGGAACTCAACTGTACCATACCTAGCACACATATTGTGTGAGGAATAGAACTCACATATCAACTTTGTAATGGTTAAAAATCTCATTTCAATAATTCAATTAACAATGTAAAATGTTAAGGATGGATAGTGGCTAGCGGTGGAATTCAGGATGCGCATTTCGTCCTATTCGGGACTCGTCAGCTAGATGTACCTGCTTCCCAGTGAGTGATGTTGTTCCCACCGGGATTCGGACTCGAGAGCGATCGCTTCAAATGTCAGCGCGTCATCCACTACACGAACGAGCCACGACAGCCACTTCAGTTCGGTCCAAGCAACGACGGTATCATATAAAATCCTTATACTAACAACGTAAAATGGCCTCATTTCCTTCAATATTTTTAACATTACTTAAATTCTTATCATAAAACATTCCCAAATCCCCACAGCTGCCTCAAAATTCAGTTGAACCTGTGCTCATTGGTGACTAGCTTTGAAAGGTATTCCCGAAGTCCCAATGAGAAGGCATCACCGGTGGAGTCAAAGCCTGGTAGTCGTGAGGACAGTTACTCAACGATGACATTGGGTGGTGGTTGCGCTACATCGTGAGCTAACAGAAGTTGCAAATATGGGCCATCGGATTGTGACTCAGTAGCTCAATGGTAACGCGCTGGTCGCGGAGCATGGAGTTCACGGGTCCGATCCCTGGAGAGCGGTGTCGTGGGTGCACACTGCTGGGGAGTCGCACACTAGAACGAAACAGCTGTCCAGTGCTCCCAGGTTCCCTTTGTTCATCCAACCGATGTCAGTCTGCGATGAATAACAACTTGAAATTCTTTACATTACTTAAATTCTTATCATAACACATCGTTCGAAGGGTTGTAAAGGAGTATATATACATACAGATGCATTTTATTGCTGTTGTTGTTGTTGCAATATATCAATGCTGAGAACTGGAAAAGGTATCGATCAGGTATATGCATCTATGGAAGTGGTAATAGTTTTCACCTCTACAATTAAACTAGTACTATTCTCCTCATTCAAACAAAGTTCAGTAGACAACTACTGTCAGACAAGATTACTCCTACTGTTGGTAAATCATTCTTCTCAGAATATGTCAATACGACCAGGAATGAGTTTTCAACTGAAAATGACATGGTACCAGTTGATGAAGTCTATGACTGTTGGTCTGAATCTTGTTGGAAGATGTAGAATACCTGAGATAGAAATCAATGGTTGAGAATTTTGGTGGCATTGCTAAAAGGTAGTCACAGTGGTGCAGATGTACTCACTCCTTGACATCTTTTCAACTTTGTCTACATGGATATCAGTCATTTTGTATCCACCTGTTATTTTTATACTACTGTAAAGTGTGGCGACTTGAACTGATGTACCTGTGTACGAGGTTCTACGTTGCTTCTATCAGTCAGTCAGTACAGCTAAAGAACCGATCAAAAGATGAAAACAATAATCGAAATTATTCTTAATTCGCGGATTAGATGTATAAATATCGATCAATTCATTTGTATAATATCCAAGTATGCATAAAATATCAGTCACAAATAGAATAGTCTGAATAAAACCATGATCTGTTCAACCAGGTAGTATCATCAATAGCCTTTACACAACAGATGTTTCCTCACTGCCGTCTACTTCCCGGTTGATTGAAATAAGTCAGCCAACAAATATGTGCATACGTTGTCTTAGTACAGTAATCGCACCTATTATATTACAGTTAATGATCTTATACCACTGTGAAAACCTTGATAAGTGGTGTAGCGCATATAGAAAAAGCCAGTGGTTACTTCAGTGAGTTCCATGGCTCATGCAGACTTCCTCTCCTCCTCCTAGTTAAAGGGGATTGAAGTGAGACACAAATGAGACACACTAAAAGACTTAGAGTAGGTAAATGATACAGTACTGTGAAATGAGGACTGTGACAAGATGCGTAGTCTACTGAACACCTTGAGTGGCAGTGATAATGTTTGGGATGCATACTGTTGCTCCGCCATCGCTCTCCGCTGATGTCTCGTCTAACAATGGAGAGAATGAAGTGGTTTAGCACACTGGTCACTTCACTAACTTCAGAAATCGGATCAAACATGACTTTACCAGCTCACACACTATCCACGGTGACGTCATGATATGCAATCGCTTAATAAAGACCCAGTATACTGTGCTGAAGTTTGTTCTCTCCTACTACATGAGTGTGAAAAATGGTCATTGAAGGTAGACAATATGAGAAGGCTACAGGTAGGTGTTTGACTACCATTGCCTTTGCAGCATTATGCCATGTCAACATATGTAGTATCACCACGTGAGTAGCGTAGAAGTTGAATGTAGAATTTTAGATGAAAAAAAGAGCGTCAGTTGATAAATATTGTAAAACCTCAACGACTCAGATAGCTGGGACATTCTTACACATGCCAAGTTAATGTTAATGTGAAAGAAGGTCTACGCTGTAAAAAGGTTGGAAGCGGCTGAACTGAACCTCAGAGTCAGTTTATGCTGTCTTTGACTATTGGTCTGACCCATGCAAGACAGTGTAGACATCCCGGTTCAGATCTGCATAACAAGGGAAACAGCTCGTTCGAGACCCTAGATGATATGGATCAGATTCATCTCCATCAACTACCTTTATTATTATTATTATCATTATTATTATTCTCTTTTGATGACTTTCTATCAATTTCGACTACTTTCTACAGTATTTTTCATCTTCATTTCCTCTACTCTGATGTATCCATAAGAGTTTTGACTACATGAACTGACTAACTGACACTGACTGAAATAACAAAGATGAATAGTAAGTGTGTATGAACCCCTATCCTTCATTACTATTTTCTTCCCCTCTGTACGATCGATAAGAATGGTCGGGCTACCACAACAAACAAATCAGATCTTATCTATCATTAAGTTATTTAGTAATAAACAATTATTATTATTATTATTATTATTAGTCCCTTGGCTTCCTAATGGAACATAGGGCTTCAGTAGCACGTCTCCAGTGACCTCTGTTCTCTGAGATCTTTTGAACCTGGTTCCACGACAGCCCACAACCTCTCATTTCCTACTCGCACCATCTCTTCCATGTCACCCTCGCCTCAGACATCCAACTCGTCGCTTCCCATGGGGATTCCACTAGACGACCTGACCTGGTACGTAGTGTCCCCAGTCGGCCTTCTCAGTGTATGCCCAATCCATCTCCACTTTCTTACACTGCATATTTGTTGCGTGATAGGTTCTTGGTTGGTTCTTTGACAGCCAGCCAGAGCTCCTTGTTCCTTATTCTTTCTGGCAATCCATCTGATCTTCAGTAACAAGCCAGCGTAGGTGACAGTTGTTGATGAATGTCTGTAGTTTATTGGAAATCCCTTCGTAACGCGCCAAGTCTCTCAACAATCACATAGAAGCACTGACTCGACGTTGATGTTGGAAATCTAGATCTTGTTCCACATGCTGAGTGCAGAAGATCTCTACACTGGTTTCAGGCTAATGAACGCCTGTCTTGCTTTTCCGATTCCGACTTTGACATCCTCGTCTGTGCCTGTGCTGCCTGCAGTTGGAACAGTGCTTCCTAGATAGGTAAAGGAGGTTACTTCCTTTAAGTTTCTCCCATTCATGGTGACTGGAGTTTGTTGTTGTTGTTGTTGGAGTTGTTTGTGCGGTATCTTCATCACCTCTGTCTTCTCTATATTCACTTGAAGTCCCGTCTTCCTTCGCTACCCTGCCTCTTCTGTCAACTTGTTAGTTTTCGCCTGTACATCTTCAAGTTTGTGTGACATCAGGCACAAGTCATCGTTGGCGAAATCCAAGTCTTCTAGGTTCTTTTCCGCAGTCCAGCCAGCGTATCCCCCTCTTCTCACAGTAATAAACAATATTATAAGCTAATTAGATATTTACAAGGCGGGGGAGTAATACACCCATACATATGTATCCAACATCTTTAATCTTGATCCCACCCCGATAACTAAAACATCATCATTGCTATTGGCGGTTCAAGTTATTTTCAAACATTTGGGTGTGTCAACTATATGTTAGGAGAATAATCAGTCAGTTTCACAAAAATACATACAAAAACTACATTTCAATTTATGATCATTGTATGTTACCACCGATATTGATTCTATTGTCTATAGAAAAAATTTTTTTTCTTTAAAAAAATGTAAACACCTTTTTGTCTTAGTAACACAACATAACAACTAATGAAATTTTATAAAAAGAAAAAACTCGACATATTGTTATTGTTCTAGACTTGACAATTTGTCCTTCTCTTGTTATACGTAGTCTTAACTTCAATCGATTCTGTCTACAGATTAAATCTGACAACCACGAAAGCAACTAGTATTCTACTAGGCCACAGTGAATAATAATCTTCTAGTACACAGGAATCTAGCCTGATGCACGTTTTATCCTGCTTGGGACTCATCAGTTGGGCATTGTTCCCACTGAGGCTCAAATCTAGTACTCTTCACTTTAAACACCAAATCGTTATCTACTAGGATACGACAGTCACATCTTAATACAACAATAATCAGTTGTTATTATGATACTTATGATTTCCATTTGCTATACTGGACCAGATTGCTGAATAATAATGAATTTACACTGGATGATGATTGATAGAGAAATAAAAATCTGGACTCGAACTAGTGACCGTGGGCTATCACGCCTAGTGCACTACCAACTGACCTATGAGGTCACCCAACTACTGACCAGATTTTTATTTCATTTGAATCATCAAAGGGTTTTAACCAACTGCTGTGATGTGTTACTATCACTTGATCTCCTAGCTCAGTTAGTAGGGCACTTGGTCTGAAACCCCACCATTCAAATTTTCATTTCACTCTCATTCATCAAGTAGTATCAACTATACAAGTCTATCAAACTATGACTATCTCAAATAGTCAAACTGATAATAATCTATTCGACAAATAGCATAGAAATTGTAGGAAACCAACAAAGAGTAGACCATCTGGTCAGAATATATAATATGCCATTCGTGATTGATTGAGGTAGACACTGAAAAAGATACCTAATTTATGCTGCTGTGTGGTCAAGATGACGTCTTTGTGTTCAGTGGGTTTTTTTCTCAGTGTCATCTCCCCCCTATCTAAATCAACATACGACTAAACATTACTGTGTAACGATACAAGTTGCCACAGTTCATACTAGTATATCAAGTAAACAAGGCAGTGAAGTAGAAGATGAAGAAAAGAAAATTCAGTCGAAAGAAATATAAAGTACTAAAAGAAAGGAACGAAGAATAAGAAGGTGGTGAGATTCAGTATAGTGGTTAAGATGAGAATAATGTGTGTATACCATGTGCGCCACTGACATCCGTTCTCAGTCATATCACCTAGCATCACTCTCCAACTACTAATGGTTTCTCATGTCCTGCGTATCCTAACCGGTTAGTCTGCTTCGCCCTACATGGTTCAAACCAACAGTCAAACACTTCATACATTGATGCTATGTTTTAGTCTGGTCGCCTCGTTCCTTCTTCCAACTTGAACCTACTTCGGTCAATATTGTGTGACAAGGCAGATGGCGGCTAGGCATATACGTAACACATGTCGGAGTCAGCCATCTCAGTCGATGAAGTCAACTGACTTACCTCTTCTTCCTAAAATTCTACACCTGACTTTTGAGTTATTCACATACTGACACCACGGAATACGGCCTACATTACGAAGGCAACGGTGGTCAAACACCTGAAGCCAGCCTTCTCATGTCTTCCACCTTCAATAGGCATGAAGTCCTAGAAACTGGAGACAAGTACTTGTTCATTCATGAACAGTTCAAGTATACTTATGTTTCAATACAGTTATTGACTGACTCACGTAACACAATCTCCTCGGTTACTTCAAAGATATATGCCTAATTCCCACCACCGCCCAAGAAGTGTAACAACACGGTCAGCGTCCTTACTTTGTAATCATCAAGCCAATGGTTACATCACATATCTAAGAGAGGAGTAAAACTGGTTCAATACTTGTAACCCTCTAAAAACACGGTTCTCTTAAAGACGTCTGACAGCTAAAAACCAAACTAACTTGTAATATGACTATATTTCCATCGCAAAATTCAAATCTTATTTTCGCGCCTTTTTTGCTCTACACCGCAGTTTAATATACTAAACGGTGATTAGTTTATATGACACTTTAAATATTCTATTTTGGTTTTTCTTTGATAAAGGCTGTTGAAAAGGTATATAAACAACTGAACTTTCTGGTATAATTGCACCATTAAGTTGAAGTAAATATACTTTCAATTCCATCGTCTTCTACTTCTGACGTCACCTGAATATCGTATTGCTGAGAATTCATTGTTCTATCATTAATCGTATCGCATCAGAGCATTATACCGTGCATATATATATACTGTAGATTAAAGCAGGCCCACTTTTAACAGGTGCATAACACCGGAGTATTTAGCTCACCGTAGTACAATAGAGTATATATCTTAATCCATTTATATTACCTTTTCAATCTCTTAATCTTTAGTGAACACAATCAACTTGACTTATTGGTCTACACGATTGATTTTCAACCAGTAGTAGGTCATAGGGTTGGATGCCGTTCCATTGAATGAGGTTCATGTGTAGTCTTCAGTCAACAGGTTACATCACTAGCGCTTCAGTTCATTTTGTCTTATTAGATGGCTGTGAGATATCACCTTTAAATGTGGAAGATATGAAGCGATTACTGGGTTTTGAACACAAATGTCTTCGTAGTATTGCTCATGTTTGATGGAATCACCGTGTAAACAGTGTAGAGGTCGGGCAAACGGGTATTAAGCAAGATAGGCAAATCAATTGGTAAGATTGTGAACCTTCAATGGCTGAGGTGGCTTGGAAATATTCTGCCCATTACGAGCCACCGCGTACCTTGACATGCCACGCTAAGGAAACATGGATTGGGTTGGACAGAAGGTTCACGATGACCAGACCAAAGCGTGGTAGACGTCAATCAAATCCCTGATCTTTTCTATGAGCCATATGGAGAGATGCAGACTATCTAACTGGTTTGGGTCCTTGAAACGATAGGGACGACTGGTTGACGATTCTTGGTGAAATGGTTGTTCTTTTTATACTGATGTGAAGTATGGTCAATTAAAGTGATCCACTTTTGTTAGAAGTTTTGCATTGATTACGTCTGCCTGTTTTGTTGTAGTAAACAAACGGTAGAAGTTTCCATTTAAAGTCGATTTACCTATACATTGTTATAAAGGTGTCCGACACACATTTATTGCATAATCCTCTGGATGAATAATATCGATTAGATTACTGTGAAATAGATGTTGACCACAGGAATTTCATCTTAAGGAAACTATGAAGGGTAGATTGATTTCAGAACAGCTTTCATAATGGATAGATATCAGGTGAATGGTATAACCATGCTGATGTAGGCTAGCTTGGAAATCGTTGAAGTGTACACTACTGAAGAATTTCAAACATAAATGAAATTACCGTCCAGCAATTCCCAAGTGGAAACTTATCAGTATTTACACGAGATCTTAGCTCGGAACCACCGTACGAGCAATCTTGAGGATAGGTGGGGATGGTAGTAAATCTTCACCGACTGAAATAACCTGGACATATGTTGCATGTGCTAAACCACTATCACCCAACCTCGACTTAGGATTTGGTTGGAAAAAGGATAATGACAGTTAGATCATGTCAACTGAAATGTCTTGGACATGTACTCAGTAAATCGAGCCATCGCCTAACTCGACGTGTCATGCTAGCGGAAGTTGGACTAAGTTGGAAAGAGGGTTCATGGTGGCCAGATGAAGGTCTGGCACGAGTCGATGAATTCTATGACTGGTGTGTCCTGTAGAGAGGTGCAGATCGTCTGATTGGGGTCCCCGAAACGATAGGGATGATTGGCTAAGGAGTGATGGAATGGCTGAAAATCAGTGTCACAGTGGTGCAGATGTACTCACTCCCTGATATCTTCTTGAATATTCGTACTAACTGTTAGCTTCAAACAGTTTATTTACTCGTATAACTTTATCTACTTTGATATCACTCTTTTACTATCCACCTCGTCTTTGTATACTACTGTGTAGTGTAGGAACTTGAATTGATCTACTCCGGTGAGAGGTTCTACTTTGATTTTGTCAGTCAATCATCAGGTATAATAAATATGCATATAGTTGGTGATTTACAGCTACATATAAAATACAACAGAAGACAAGAAGGAGGAGGTCAGTAATAAACACTCACCAGTATCAATTTTCGCAGTAACATGTGATAAATCAATAGGTGATTGTATAGTTGTCGGTGTAGGTGTACGATTTTGTTGTATTGAAGAAGTTAATTGATGATGATGGTGATGATGATAATGATGATGTGTATTTGATGTTCCATTTGGTGCTGATACTGTTGAAGTTATAGAATAACTAGAACGTGATGAAGGTAGACGTTTTACAGGTGTATGACTACAACTACTACTGCTGCTGCCGCCACCGCCGACTTCTTCACTTAAATTATTCAGCTTTCTGACACTATTCGGTGTAGTTGGTGAATAGGATACACTTGGGCGTTTAATAGTAGATGAAGTAGTAGTAACAGGATGCCAGTTTTGTCTACCATTCACATTGACAGTTTTATATACTCGACCAATAGGAGCAAATATGCCGTGTTGATTTGGACAAGAAAAATATTGAACCTGTGAGAAAAGAAGGAAATGAACTACACACAAACACATTCAAACAACTAAATAAATAAAAATTATTCTTAAATCACATTGGTTAATACAGAGTCCGACCCCTGGAGAGGGTCATAGGTGCGCAGTTCTGAGGAGTCCCATACTAGGACAAAACAGCTGTCCAGTACTCCCTCAAGTTTCCAATGTTCCTTCAACTGGTCTCAGTCAGTGATGTATGCCAACTTGAAATGAAGGATAATATGGAAGATTGGACGTTACTCTGTGTTTTAGACAGGGTGCTGTACTGTGTTCAACTGAAGCAACCCTGACGGAAACCGTTGATAAGTGAAATAATGGCGAATATTTGTAGCTCAGGTGGGTGGTCTTGGTTGTATTGTGTTCTCTGAGCTAGCTGGGTTATTTAATCGTGGAGGCCTCAACGTCTTGCTAGACGACATCATCACTACTAACTTAAGTTTGAAGTGACCAGTGACTATCTCTCCATGAGTGATATAGTAGCTTGCTCCAACCGACTGGTTTGTGATTGGTCGTTCCCTTTGACTGTTATGTCATTGACTGTATAGATTTTCCTATTGGCTATTCCTCTGACCTTTCTATCGTTTGTCACTTTTCTCATTGGTTGGCGAACTGGGTCTATGTCTGTACATCTACTGATTACTGACATAGACCCAATCTATCAACCGATGAGAAAAATGACAAACGATAGAAAGGTCAGAGGTCAAGCAGAGGAACAACCAATAGGAAAGTCTAAACAATCAATAACATAACAGTCAAAGGAAACAACCAATAACAAACCAGTTGGTCAAGGCAAGTTAATGAATCACTGACTGAGAGATATTGACAGGTCACTTCATGCTGAAGTTTTTTGCTGGTGATGTCACTGTCTAGAAAGACGATGAATACTCCACAATTAAACAATCCAGTAACTGATAGTAACTGAAAGCAATGAGTCATATCGTTGTAAAGGTACATTCACTGGTTAATTTTCCCCAATAGTGAATAAGTCTCACCCACCAACATTCAGTTACTTGACTGAATTTTTCTAATTAGTCCATTGAGTTTGTTCATCTTGTATGATGCTGACAAATGTGAAAAACAAGCCTACACCGACACTTTATTGCATCAGACATAAAGCTGAAAAGTGAGCGCTCATATGTACTCAGTTGGTGAACAGATGAAGGAGTTCCTTGTAAGTCAAAAACAGGGATAAGATGTAAAAAGAAGTGTAAGACATTACACAATATTCAATAGGTTTGAGTCAAATATACCTGATAATAGCATAGAAGGAAAATAATCATGAAAATATGCATAATAATTACAAATAATATGAATCAAATAGAACAACAGATAAAGTGATTACATCCAAATAATATTGTCATCTAAGAACTTCCACTACCAGCCCTACTGACCAATGGTATCCTGTGGAAGGTAAACATATATATTAGTGAAAAACTTCTGCATGATGGTATAACGTAATTCCATAATTACATTTCCTTATTGACTGACTGACTGGATCAAAGTAGAACGTTACATACAGTTGCATGGGTTCACAGAAGTACAAAAAGAACAGGTAGATAGAAAAAGCGGTGATATCAAAATAGACAAAGTTGTATGAGTGAACAATCTGAAGATAATGGCTAGTGAGAATATTCAAGCCTCAAAACGTGTCAAGGAATGAATACACCTCTACGCTATTGTGACCCAATTTTCAGCCATATCACCAAGAGTTCTCAAACTACTGATTTCTATCATCTTGGGGACCCAAACCAGGCATAGTGTGGTAGAGTATTACTTATTGAATGACCATGTTTCGAGTATAGATTATTATTGGTTATAATCATAGCAATAGTAATCACATCACCTTCAACAATCAATTTTTGCATCATTCCTATTCCATGTGTTGGGTGTTGGTTGATTCGATGAACAAAGATAGACTAGGTATTCAATCTCTCCATCTCTCTCAATCTCCAACTAATTATATTGAACTTAAGAACAATGGTTTCATTCCACCCATCCTATTATGTGGTTGTGTATTAATCCATCCATTACAATAGCTGAGTGTTTTTTTCTAGATTATTGATGTTATTGCAGTCTATCACTCTATATTTGGTTACATTTCTATCATAGAGTTAGAAAACTTAAGGGATTTGAACATATAATAGTTATCCCCTACAGTTTATGAAGAAATTCACACGAACATACAAGAAACAATAACACGAGTAGAACAGTTCACAGTATCCATTGTGTTATCCTATTAGGAATGGACATCAGAAACAACTTTAAGTAGCATTCTCAACAAAGCTAGAATTACGATAGCATTTAAAGCTACAAACTGACTTAGAGATAAGCTTTTTCGGCTGCCTTAAGGATTCGATAGAACTAATTCAGTAAAATAATCTAATCTATCAGATTTCATTTAATGACTATGAGGTCAAGTACATAAGTGAAACTAGCTGGTCGGGGTCAGTCAAATAATTCAGCTAAATACAGAATGATAGACTCCAATAAGATCAATCAATGCATGCATTACCACACAACCATACAATAAGGTGAATGGGATGAAATCACTGTATTTCAGCCCAGTATAATTAGGTGGAAGGAGAGATTGATTACTCAATCCTGGTTCATGGAATCAATCAACACTGAATAGATGTAGTCAGAATGACACGATATCTATACCAGAGATATGAAAAATCTTACTATCATGAAAAGCAAAGAATAAAAGGTGACAGAACTAGAAAAGTCGGTTATCCAAAGTAGTGTGTGATTACATTGATATGATTATGAGCGAAACGTGATCATCAAATAAATAATACTGCATTACACTGTGTGCTGACTATATCAAATAAACAAATCTAATTATGGAATTGAACAAACTACATATATTCATCAACAACTGCCTACACTGGCACGATACTGAAGCTCAGATGGCCAGAAATAATAAGCAACAAGGAACTCTGGCAACAAACCATCCAAGAAGCCATCGCCTAACAAATATGCAGTAGACATCACGCGCCAGGCCCTCGAGTGGAAACCAAAGGGAAAACGACGAGTTGGGCGTCTGAGCCAAGGGTGACATGGAGCAGATCGTGTGAGGAAGAAATGACAGCTCGTGGGCAGTCGTGGAGCCAGGTTCAAAAGATTTTAGAGAAGAGAGTACAATGGAGACGTGCTACTGAAGCCCTACGTCCCACTGGGAACCCAAGGGAAAAATAATAATTATTATTATGGAATTGTATATACACACAGTCTACACTTCTACACCAGTGAACAAAATAAAAGTATTATGGTTTCAAACTGCTATGTATAGTAGCTAACGATGCACGGATATGAGCAGTCAACCACAAAAAATTTTCATCTTCCCAGTTGATACCTAACCTGACTAATTAAATGGAGAACACTCAGTGTAAAGCGTAGAAATAAATACTTCAGACTGAATACTCGAAGTGATCAACGCAAGCAAAACATATCTACATATATACGCAAAGTACGGCGTTTAAAAATACGAATATTGATTGGTTGATCGATCGTCTGTCTGTTAGTCAATCTATCCACACATGTAATTAACACAAAGTAAATTTTGATTGGTCCATTTCCCGACTAGTTTGTCTCACTTAGTTGTCGAAACGTCCACAGCTTCACGCGATGATAATATTACTTGGTTTAGTCACCTTCAGAATTTTTTACAAACTTTGAAATGGACGATGGTTTAGTATGTACAACACACACGTCTTAACTATGTTATTTGGTGAAGTACTGACAACCTCATCAACCGTCTTTGTATCCTTTTTCATAAAAAAAAAACTTCATTCAAGATGATCAGATTACAATTAAGCATCAATTGAAGTCTTTTGTTTCCTGTTGTGTATGGAAATGTAGACTTCGTGACTAAAGCCTGTCAAGCAAACAAAATCAGTGGTTGTTGACCATAGGTGATATAACTCATAAATGATCCCAGTGGCACAAATATTGTATGCAAACATAGACGAACTTAACTTTTTGTTCCTCATGTCAAACAGACTTATAAATTGTAAGTACCATTTGCCTTCGTAACTACTTTGTCCTTCATACTGTTGATTCTGATTGGTCAGCGCATACTTGAACGTGATTGGCCGTCATCAATGTTTACTTGAACCTACATATAATCTTCATTTTAATCATTACATAACAATTTATGTTCTATTACACGCCACCTTCTCGTCTTCTTATCCCTTTTGTATACATTCTTTATAGGTAGTATTCATCATTCCCATTCACCTCAAAATACATTTTCTATACTTCTGTATCGTTTATGGATGTCATCTGGTTTTAATACACCCAGATTTGAGATGTGACAACCTTGACCGTCACTCAATATAGTGCCAGATCCCATGTTGATATTGACCGATGATAATCATGAATACTCAATGTAAAGCAGACTTACTCCCTTTCTGAAGCTCAAGACGACCTTTTTACAGTCCAACAGTCGGAACTTAGACCTGAAACAAGTATGTTGTACAAATGGTGTCATAACTTAATAAAATACCGTTTAACTGAAAGACAGAAACATATTTAACAAATAGAACTTACTCCTGCTACACTGCCATTATTTCTACCAACTGGTTCATCCAATTCTACACCGACCCATACACCGGATGCAAAAGAGACTGGTCCACAGAAACGCAGTTTACCTATTCTCCCTGAAATACCTATCGTTGCGGAATTATTTTTATTGTTTATTATTGTTGTTGATGATGATGATGATGTCGAATTGCCCGGTGCAATACACACACGATCACCCAATGATAAACCCATCGACTGTAGTGTAACCTTAGCAGATATTGTAGATTTACCAATAGTTGGACGTGTATTACTCGATTGAAGTGTTGTAGGACGCTTAATCTTACTCTCTGGTGTTTGTTGAATAGGTGGTCGCTTTGTACGCGGTGAAAGAAAACCAGATTCAGCTGTAGAAATTAGAAGAAGACATATGAAGTGAACAATAGAGAAGGGGAATAACAAGGCAACTGTTTATGCAGGTCTACCTAATGATTACATCAACAAAGTGGGAAAGGTACGTCACATTCAATCAAACTAGAATACAACACATATCAAACCTCGCCTGGTTAACTAGTTCACTAGTTACTACTACCCGGTCCTAAGCCCAGGTAAAGACGAAAGCTTGGCCATACGCCTAGCAATCATACACCGAAAAACAAATCCAATCGCTAAACAAACTTCAAAGCACAAACAAAGTATAAAACATAACAACAAACTTATTCCCAGCTAGGATCGCACACGTGAAATAATGCCACTTGGTGAAAGCCTCCAAGAAGCCAATTCGCCGATGTCTCCTATCTCCCTCAATCAAAGCGAAAGTAAACATCAGCACATGGAATGTCCACACCAGGTTTCAACCCAGCAAGCCTGACCAGATTGCAAACCAGATGAACAGGTATCACATTCAAGTGCTTCGAATTTGCGAAAGCAGATGGAATGGAAGTGGACTCTCCAAACTGTCAACTGCAGAATCAGTAATCTACTCCGATATTGTCAACCAGACGACAACCACCAACACACTGAGTTTTCCAGTGGCTATCATGATGTCCCCCTCCCAACAGCATCGAAGGCTCTCTCTCTCTCTCATACAGTGGGAACCAATCTCCTCCTCCAGGATCAGGATCATGACAGCAAGATTCAACTCAAAATGAAGGCAGCTCACAATCATACAATACTACACTACGCTACGCACCTACAAATAATGCAGAGCAAGAGAAGTAGGAGGAACTCTACAGACAACTGCAATCAACACTGGACAAGATCCCACATCAAGTGGTGACATCAAAATTCATTCTAATGGGTGGGGTGACATGAATGCCAGCCAAACTAGGAGCGGACAGCACAGGAAGACAACTAACCATGGGTCAAGAAACACTCGGTGAAATGAATGAGAATGGAGAATTATTTACCGAATTCTATGCATTCAACGATTTGGTGATTGGAGTCAGGCAGTGTGTTCAAGCACAAGGATATACACAAAGCGAGCGACATGGATTTCACCAGACACCAGGATACACTAAAAATCAGATCGAATTTATCTCAATGTGAAGAGACAGCTTACTTGACACAAGGTAAAGAAGGGGAGCATCAACGGAAGAAACTTGAAGGGAGTAGCCTCCTTCACCTACCAACCAGGCAGTATCGTTTCAACTAATGGCGGCACAGACACAGACGTCAAAGACATCCAGGATCCGAAAGACAGCAAGACAGGCGTTCATTAACCTGAAATCAGTGTGAAGGCGCGAACAACATCCGACTTTTCAACACCAACGTCAATCAAGTCAGTGCTTCTGCATGGTTCAGAGACTTGGCGTATTACGAAAGGGATTTCCAACAAACTACAGATATTCATCAACAACTTCCTACACTGGATCGTTACTGAAGCTCAGATTGCCAGAAAGAACAAGCAACAAGGAACTCTGGCTGGCTGGTAACGAACCAACGAAGCAAGAACCTATCGCTCAACAAATATGCAGTGGAAGGAAGTGGAGATGGATTAGATTGGACATGAACTGAGAAGACCATTCGGAGACATCATGCGCCAGGCCAGGTCGTCGAGTGGAACCCAGATAGAAAACGACGAGTTGGGTGTCGCAGCTGAGGGTAACATGGAGGAGATGGTGTGGTGAAGAAATGAGAGCTTGTGGGCTGTCGTGGAGTTAGGTTCAAAAGATTCCAGAGAAGAGAGTACAATGGAGACGTGCTACTGAAGCGGTATGTTCCACTAGGAACTCAAGGGATAAATAATAATATAGTAATAAAACAGTTATCAATCTAGACCATTATGCAGTATAATCGTAGTTTACGCAAAAACATTCAATGAGAAGAACAACGCCCAAATACTTTTTGCCTGAGTCACAGAATCTTTCATTCACAACACTCCACTTAAGAATAAGCTTGAAGACCCTAACAGTTTACATTGACTGGTTAGAATTATTACCTGCTGAGGTTATCGAAACTTTAGAAACTGAAAAGACTAGGGCATGTATGCTCAGCATACCTAACCAGTATCCATCTTGATGCAAAATGGTGTAAGCTAAAGTGAGATACATTAAGAGAACACACAAAGCCAAAAGATTTAATAACTGTTGACCTAGGGCTTCTACAATTTTCGAGATGTTAGGCACCAATTTCTGAAAAGTCTCTGAGTTGACTTCCTCTCTATGAAGCCATGAGACTTGACAGTCCCGAGTTCTATTACATATAGGATTCTAAGTGAAGACTGCTGAATAGTCCTAAAAGAAAACGAGATAGTTGTTCAGTTGTATGAGCTTCTTAATAGTTTCCCGGTTAGTATCAATCAATGTGTGGAAAACCTCTGAAAATAATCAATTTTTTACAATGTTGAAATGTTGTAATCAAAGAAATTGTTATGGAGTGAGACAAGGTCATCCCTTAGATTCCTTTAAGGAAGCCTGGGAATTTTGAAGTTACTACACATATCATGAAAGCATTCAAAGAAAGAACAAGTGGAAAGAAGAAGAAGAAGAATGGCAGTGAAATTGAAAAAAAAAGTATCAAAGGGAAGAGAGAATGAAGAGAATAGAGATTAATGAATGTATTCAAGGCTTCAAAGATTTTGTAGCAAGTCATCAATAATCTTCATCTATTGTCCTGACGGTCCCAATCAGGTAGCCTACATCTTCTTATACAGCTGAAAATAATAGTTCAAAACTTAGTGATCTGATCCAAAGTTTTTGTCTGACTACCATGAACCTTCTTCTAACCTACCTATATTGTGCGTCGATCTAGAGGTAGTCATTCAGTATGCGTAACATATCTCCAAGCCACTTCATTCGTTAAAAGTTAAACTACCTTCCTTGACTAGTAATCCACTCGATATTACTTACATGGCGGTTGTAATACACAAAAGAAGCGCTATTAAATAACCTGTGGTAAAAAAATAATAAACTTGCAATACTTTCATATCTCAAGTTGTTATTCATTGTAAACTGACATCGGTTGGAGGAACAAAGGGAACCTGGGAGCACTGGATAGCTGTTTCGTTCTAGTGTGGGACTCCCCAACAGTGTGCACCCATGACCCCGCTCTCCAGGGATCGGACCCGCGACCTTCATGTTCCGTGGCCAGCACGTTACCATTGAGCTACTGAGTCACAATCCGATGGTCCATATTTGCAACTTCTGTTAGCTCACGATGTAGCGCAACCACCACCCAATGTCATCGTTGAGTAACTGTCCTCACGACCATCAGGCTTTGACTCCATCGGTGATGACTTCTCATTGGAACTTCAAGGATACCTCTCGAAGCTAGTCACCAATGAGCACCAGTTCAATTGAATTTTTGAGGGATTTCATATCTACTTTCAATGGCCATGTCTTATAGTCTTATAAGAGAACAGAGGGAACTGAAACGAAGTATGATCTTATTCCATTTTTACTGATTCATTAGATTTATCACACAGTGTAACAGTATTATTTACTGGATCAGATTTTGGATATAATTTGTTGTCCACAGTTATATCAAGATAACTAACACCAACGTCAAGTCAGTGCTTCTGTATGGTTCAAAGACTTGGCGCGTTACGAAAGAGATTTCCAATAAACTACAGACATTCATCAACAACTGCCACCTACGCTGGCTTGTTACTGAAGATCAGATGGATTGCCAGAAAGAATAAGCAACAAGGAGCTCTGGCTGGTGACGAACGAACCAAGAACCTATCACCCAACAAATATGCAGGAGGAAGTGGAGATGGAGATGGATTGGGCATAGACTGAGAAGGCCGACTGGGACATCACGCGCCAGGCCAGTCCCTCTAGTGGAATCCCCATGGGAAGCGACGAGTTGGACGTCCGAGGCGAGGGTGACATGGAGGAGATAGTGCGAGGAAGAAATGAGAGGTTGTGGGCTGTCGTGGAACCAGGCTCAAAAGATCTCAGAGAATAGAGCTCACTGGAGACGTGCTACTGAAGCCCTGTGTTCCATTAGGAACCCAAGGGACTAGTAAAATAAAATATCAATAAACTAACTGAACAACTTTATATAGTCGTAATTTCCTCGTCTCTTTATGAGATGGGCAGTAAGATTTTCCATATATCCGGAACAGATGCTGTTGAGACGTTCATGTTGGTGTATGTATTAGGTGTTGGTTGATTCGATAAACAAACATTCGGTTATCAATCTCTCCCTCCACCCGGTTATATTAGTTTGAAGAATTTCCACCCTATCCCATCCTATTGTATGGTTGTATCGCATGCATAGCTATGGTTCAGCTGTTTTCTAAATTCCTTACCTTATTAGGATCTACCAATTTTGACCTAGCTAAGTTTATGTGTTCCGATAGCCTAATTGATCCTGATCGACTACTTTAACCTATGTATTTGACCTCACAATCGTTGCAAGCGATTTGGTAAACTGTGTTATTCTGTTTAATTGGGTCAATAGGATCTTTTAATCTGCAAAAAGCCTATTTCGAAGTGAGTTTGTAGGTTTCAATGCCACTCTAATCCCAGTGGCAGCCTTGTTGAGAATTCTACGTAGTGTTTCTGAGGTGCCTTCTTTGTATGATAGGAATACTGTGGAGGTTTCGAATTCTCTATTCACAGGATTGCCGCTACTATTATTAACATCATTATCAACACCATTATTACTACTATTAATAATTGTGTTATAGATATTTTTCTTACAATTCCTAAGCAGCTTTTCAATTAATTTGGGAAGGTAATTGTTGATGAGTAAGGTGTCTTAAATGTATCTGGTTTCTTGTTTTAGATCTCCTGTTTAACCATTAAGTTTTTTGACCCCGTTACTTAAACACTTTACCAAGTAAACTCTAACTGATTGACATAGGGTGAGATCATTTGAAGTCTAAGTAATAATTCGAGTGTGAAAGTTGTCTGTACATCCTGGCGTGTAAACTTCCATCTTATTTCCATCCTATTCTGTAATCCAACACCACTAACCCCCCTTAACTATTTTCTAAGTCATAGATGAAACTCGATTGCATTGAATAGTGAATTGATATGTGTGAATAGACTGAGTATGTGCTCCGATTTTAACAGTCAAAAATGTGTTGTCTATGAAATAATGGAGAACATTTGTACGTCAGGTGGATGGTCTTGGTTGTATTGTGTTCCCTGAGCTGAGTTGTTTAATCGTAAAGCTTTTATCGTCTTTCTGGACGAAATCATCAGCACTAACTTCATACTGATGATGTCGTCCAGAAAGACGATGTGTTGTCTATACATCGAAACCATCTTTCTAGACCTAGGATACATTTTTTTAAAGCCATCCATTTCGAACTACCCATAAATATGTCAGCTATAATAGGGGATATTGGTGATCCTATGGCAACTCCTTCTGTTTGTTTGTATATTCTACTCTGAAACCTAAATATTGTGCAAGTAAGGCATAGTTGTACTCAACACCTAACACATACAACAAGAATGACTCAACACCTGTTCCAGGTATATGCAAAATCTTACTGCCCATTTCATAGCGAGACAAGGAAATTACGACTATATAAAGGATATCACAATGTTGTTCAGTTAGTTATCTTGATATGATGACTATGGACAATCAATTATGTCCAAAATGTAACTGTTCCTTCACTCTGTGATTAATCTAATAAATCAATAAAGATAGAATTATATTCTACCACAGTGTATAATGTTTTACTCTTATATGAAGTATAATCTTCCTTTAATAGTCGGATATTTTGTCAATCGGTGTCACAGATGACACCTTTAGTATGTGAGCTAAGATCTCTTCAACAACCCTACCAATTTTATTTGATGTAACCTCCAAAGTTAATGAAATGGTCAAAGAATTTCACTACTTCACTTTTTACTCTTAAAAAAGGGATTACTTGCTGAACAAATTCTAAAGAATCATTCTACATTTGACAAGTGCAATATGCATACCAAACAACATACTAAGATTTTATTTTTTTTCAATACATTCAGAAGATTCTGTATTTTGTCGACGTTTTCTCCTAACAGGACTATATCACCTGTGTTATCCAAATACACTAGATACTCTTCAGAGACTAAGTCAGTTCCTTGAAATCCCACACACACACACACACACACACACACACACACACACACACACACACAAAGAGACATATAAACAACAAAATATAAATGATTGAACAGTTGAAACAAACTTTACTTTCCAGGAAGAAACACTTTAATTTGTTCCTTAGTAGTATCATCTATAGTACGCAGATGACATAGTCCTTTTAGTTGAAGACATTAACAAGATGACAGAGTTGTAAATTGTCACTCAAATACCATTCTTCGTTGATGATTTGTCTAATAACAGAGAATGAAGTAGTTCAGTGTGCTAATGTATAGCTCATTGCTTACTGGACGAACACACACAAAGTTGTTGAATCCACTTAGATTTCGAATCAACATCATCAGGTGAACAGAAGAAGTGACAAGTGATCATAGAATGAAGACATACACACAAACACTCACACGTATAAACACTTACCAACTAACCAATCAACTCCATTGCATACAGACTGGTGTTGTTCCATTGGATGGTGATTATCAGTCCCATTGATGATCTGTTCACCTCGATAACCAATTGAAGCATCATTTGATGTCGCTTGAAACAGTGTCTTTTCAATATCTATACCCTCCTAAGTGAGAAAAGTAGATATACTTTGTTTTATATACACGAAAACAATATATGATACGATAATACATAACCAAAATTGTGTCTTTCTTGTGTCTACACCTTTTTAACATAGAAATCAAGTAAAACCTTGGTAAGTCAGAGTGAAAACCGTATATACTGATTTAAATAGGTATAAAATATGAGAAATTTATTTTGATCCCAGTGACTAGCAAAGGAATCCAACATATCGCGTGTTTCGGCCTATTTGGGGCTCGTCAGCTGGATATACCTGCACATCAATGCGGAGTGATGTTTTCCCCATTCAGACCCGAACCAAGTACCCATCGTTTCAGACACCAAAGCGTTACCTACTAAGTTAATGGGGCATGATAGTCATCTCTTATGCAACGCATATCACTTGTTGTTATGATACTTGTAATATCCCGTTGCTATACAGCGCTGAATTATTCCACCTCTGAAGAATTTACTTGAAAAAACAACAATCTGAACAACAAATAATGACCTTCCATTTTAGTGTGTTTATTAGAAATGTCATACACAGTGAAGAAACAGCATCATTGAGTGGATAACAGCGTTTCGGACACTACTTATTGTCTATATTCATATCACATTAGGTAACTCCACAACTTCGAAACAGAGTTGATATAGTCCTTAATTCTCTCTCCTTCTTTGTGATGACAAGGGTAGTAAAAGTTTCCAGATATCTGGGACAAGTACAGAATCATTTCTGTTACAACATGTATTTGGTGTGTGTTGATTAGATGAACAAAGATTCGGTTATCAATCTTTCCCTACCTACACCCAACTAAGTTAGTTTACAACATTGTCGCCTTATCCTAACCTACTGTATGATTGTGTGTAGTAACGCGCTGAGCTATAGCTGAACTTTTGTCGAAATTTCTTATCTGTTATTCTAATTGACCCTAACTACTAGTCGACTACTTTCACCAATGAAATTTGACCTCACAATGGTTGTAAGGGATTTGGTAAACCAGATTATTTTGCTCAATTGTATCGATAGGATCTTCTAACCTGCAAAGCTTGTTTCCAAGCGAGTTTGTTGGTTTAATTGCCTGCCACTTTGATTTCAGAGAGCCTTATTGAGAATTCTTCGTTATGCTTCTGAGGTGCCTTCCTTGTATGCTAACACAGTAGAGGCTTTAAATTCTCTCTCAGCTCTACTACCATTATCACTATCAGTAGTAGAATTGTTATATTCTTTTCAATAAACGGTCTTATTAGCTTCTATAATTATAAAATACAATTGTACATAGTGATATCAAGCCAAGTTAGAAAGAAATTGAATGAAATATACGGACAACAAGGAAATGGATTCTTCTTGAAGGAAAATTAAACGTGAATTAACGATAGTTGAGAAGTAGCCTTTGTTTCTGCATCTACAATTCTAACCAAACTTTTCGAATGACATCTTATCATAACGACTAGTTAACGTAGTCAAAAGGATGGTTTATAAAAATTGGCTTTGTATATCATAAAGTAGTCAGTAACCAATGCATACCTAATCTTCGTTCTTTATCCTCCATATAACAATGTAACCGTTTTTATGCAGCAGGTTACATTACATTTTCCTTATTATCAAGACCAATTTATAATTTTAATTTCCTATTCCTTCTATTCAGAAATACTGTAAGCATACCATCCAGTTAGACAGTCAACAGCATCAATGTATAGTGTAAAGAAGTTGGCAAAACATAACGACCAGATTTACTAGCTAAACTTTAAGAGATATTCGTTATATGAGACAGAATCTTATCATCTGGATGTTAAAAATCTTCACAGTGCACCAACATTTCCACTTGTAGACTACCTATACCAGTTAATTCACGATCATTTGTTGTAAAATCAGGGCGGGGTTGGAATGTTTCCAACTTCTTATCTTTTATGTCCTCCTTCAAATCTCTTCAATACATAGAAATATCTCTTCTCCAGTCAACAAAACATCCACCCATCAATAACTAATCCATTACCAACCCTATGAGTCCATATACATGTTGAATATACAAATGATAAACTTGTTCACACATACAACTACGTCTCTAGATCTCCACAAATCAATAACACCACATAAACCACGTGTGCTTAATTCCACAACTTCTGGATTACCTATTCATCTCGTATATATTAATTTAACTGTTCCCGTAGAACAGTTTACATAGGGTGTACAATTAGGCACGTGCATCTACACATACCAGAGCATTTACCTGCTTGCTTCAGAAAACTTGAAGTCAAAATGGTGAAACCTTCTGTCCTCGCACATCTACTAGACACATGTGCTAATAAACCTTTCAATGTTGTTATACATCGTATGCCGAAAATAATATCAGGTGTAGCTCCCCGACGCCTCCACAACATACCTGAGGCTGTCACAATAAAACTGATGAAACCTGGACTGGGCATTCAGAAAGATCTTATTCAAACCTTATTACTCCCTTAGACTAATGGCCACTGTAGTCCTTAAATCCCACTCCATTTTTTCAGAACGAATTCGCTTCGAACTTCTCTTGGTCTTACATCCAAATGCATCATATAATTGTATAACATGATGAGAATTTATTCACAAGGAGATTCTTTGTTCAAATTGTTGCTTTCAGTAAATGTCATAAGAATCTTTACATGAGAAGTGTTTTCTTTCTTGTTGTTGTTGTAAGTTTCTAATTTTGCAGTCAATTGCTTTCCGTCGGTCATGAATTGAAGCCTTAGTCGTAATCTAAACATACGCATTCATCCACTGAACAATACTGAAAACAAATTAGAGAGCTGCACAATCCTAATTTTGTGGACATTCCAGTAGTGTACAACCATGACCCCTGATACGCGGATTACCGTTCAGATGCTTTAGTTTTACGCCTCATCACACCTGGTCATTTAAAACACATATATCATAACCATCATCATATCCAAGATTCAATTGGCTACGCGGGTCACAGGTTCCCTCACTCTTCACAAATTCAAGTTTAGGATATCTATCTAGGCGTAAAGACACTAATGATAAGTCCCAAACCAGGATGAAACAGCTGTCCAACAGGGCCTGTTGTTCTGGCCCTAACCTGGATAGTCATTGCTGACCTTAGGTTTTATCAGTTCATAATCTAGAACAAGTTAAATTTTGACCTTCTTGCTGTTTCTTATTCGTTGATAGATCGATTCAATGTCAACATGTCTGTTGAATACTTCTAAAACTTCTCTAGCATTCTTTGTGTTTCCTCTATCCAGAAAGGATTTCCACACTTTCCCAGTCGTATGCATAGATATGAGAGAACATATAACATGACACTTTACTGCTAGTTGATGTTCGTATAAACGGATAAGAGATCGACCAATCAGAGAAAAAGGGGGGAATCCCGAATGAAGAAAATACAAAGAATAACAGTAGTTTTAGAAGATTGATATTCAGGTCAGTCAGCAATCAACAGATATATTGACACTGACTTAATCTATCAAACCAATAAGAAATAGCAAGAAGGTCAAATTTCAGGTCATTAGCGGGACGGCCAATCAAAATGAAAACAGGAACAATGAAAAGACCATGTTAGAAACAACTAACCACACACAAGGTCATCAAGACAACCCACTAAATAAATAACGGAGGAAACCGTATCGCTTACTTTTTCTCAAGTTTGTGCTGATGTCTACAATGTCTAACATTCCAGCTAAAACAACACAACACCATCAAAATAAACGCATGTATCAGTTAACAGTCGTTACGACACTTTACAACAAGTGACTCTCAAGTCAACCCCTTTCCCCGCCAGCAGAGCATTTAAAGTCACTCCTATACTACTAGAAAGTGTCACTCCGAAGGCTAAATTGAATATACATATCTCTCTCAGGAGATAATATATGCGTGACCGAAATAGAATTTAAAGTTTAACGATACAAGAACAGAACATCGTTATATAACCCGAAAAGTGGAAAATGTGAATCTGTAAGAAATGTTATTCGTCGTATTATTTAATTCATCTTAGAAGTTACCCTACTTATAGCCTAAACGGCAACATTATTGCATAGCTCGTCACCAGAGCTTTCGATTGACTACTCATCCGTTTCTAAATGACCTATATTTTGGAAATAATTGCATGTTCAGTGAAATTACCATCTCATATTTTATATTTCAAATTGGTTTTGCCACCTTTATAAATTATGGTGCGTTGTGGTCAAGTAATTAAGTTTCGTACATACAGATGAGTCGTCAGACAGCCTGAAATATATACATGGATAATAAACACCAGACATTGTATTCTGATGTAAGAAGTTGGGTTGCAAAGCTGAATTGCATGACTCATTGTGTGGGTGAATTGAGTATGCAAGGCTAGACAGGCATTCCGCAGACCAATCACTTTCAAGGTCAGAGTTAAGCTGAGTCACATGCTTACGCTAATAACAGTCAGACAAAATTATGAAAAAACCGGCAATAGGGTTAACTCAGTAATATAGTGAAACTGAAATACAGAAAAGGACTACGGTGTTGTGTGCACATTATTCGACCACTTATATCAGTAAACTCATAAGGTAAATTTTGAAAGTAAACATGTCAAAAACAGAACAAGATATGTAGGCTAAATGGTTGTTGTTCACTTCAACAGTACCATTTCTCTTCTTGACCTGTTTTCAAGTTTTTAGGTATAGTTGGCATAGTCAAGCAACAACAAGAAACCGTATTGATGATAATATCCACTTTGATACTTGGATGTTTACTTACCATCAGTGGATACATAAACTGCTCAAGAACAATTTGAACGTTAAACACTTGCGGAGACAAAAACTTACAGATTGATGAGGTGAAGTTGGACGAAGTAATTCAGACAGTAAATCTCGTAGTGTACACAACGGTTCTGGAAGTTGACCTGAAGGAGGCAAACATTCTAAAGGAGAAAACAAAGAAAAAAAATGACGAGATATACTACTAATCAACAACTTGAGTAGTTAGAAACCACTCGGATTGATATATAGTACTTCGCCAGCCAGCCAGACGGTTAGATCAGAGTGACGTAAACACCGGACAGCCGTTTGGGCACAAGTCACCTTACCGGGTGTGTGTACCCGGACGAATTCAGCCAGTAGGTCCAAATTAGTTTAGATCATCTGAATCTGGTTACCTGGCTTGCATGGAATAAGCAAAACTAAAGAAAGAAATTATGTTGTTCAATACTGATGAACAACTTCGCCTGGTTAACTAGTTCACTAGTTACTACTACCCGGTCCTAAGCCCGGGTAAAGACGGAAGCTTGGCCATACGGCTAGCAACCATACACCGAAAAACAAATCCAATCGCTAAACAAACTTCAAAGCACAAACAAAGTATAAAACATAAAAACAAACTTATTCCCCGACAGGATCGCACACGTGAAATAACGCCACTTGGTGAAAGCCTTCAAGAAGCCAATTCGCCGATGTCTCCTCTCTCCCTCGATCAAAGCGAAAGTAAACATCACGACATAGGATGTCCACACCAGGTTTCAACCCAGCAAGCCTGACCAGATTGCAAACCAGATGAAGAGGTATCACATTCAAGTGCTTCGAATTTGAGAAAGCAGATGGAATGGAAGTGGACTCTCCAAACTGTCAACTGCAGAATCAGTAATCTACTCCGATATTGTCACCCACACGACAACCACCAGCACACTGAGTTTTCCAGTGGCTATCATGATGTCCCCCTCCCAACAGCATCGAAGGCTCTCTCTCTCTCATACACTGGGAACCAATCTCCTCCCCCAGGATCATGACAGCAATGTTCAACTCAAATGGAAGGAAAGTCACAATCATACAATGCCACACTACGCTACGCACCTACAAATAATGCAGAGCAAGAGAAGGAGGAGGAACTCGACAGACAACTGCAATCAACACTGGACAAGACCCCATATCAAGTGGCGACATCAAAATTCATTCTAATGGGTGGGGTGACATGAATGCCAGCCAAACTGGGAGCGGACAGCACAGGAGGAGAACTAACCATGGGTCAAGAAACACTCGGTGAAATGAATGAGAATGGAGAATTATTTGCAGAATTCTGAGCATTCAAGGATTTGGTGATTGGAGTGAGGTAGTGTGTTCAAGCACAAGGATATACACAAAGCGAGCGACATGGATTTCACCAGACACCAGGACACACTAGAAACCAGATCGACTTTATCTCAATGTGAAGAGACTGGAGACACAGCCTACTTGACACAAGGTCAAGAAGTGGAGTAGATGTAAGCTTACACCACTCACTATGTAGTGCAAGGAACCTTGCAAATCAGGCTGAAAGCCTTCAAGGAAGTTGGTGATAGACCACAGTTCAAGTACAACACCCAGAACAGAAAGTGAAGGACGAATCTACAAAGGAAATCTTCACAGCAGCAATCAAGACAAAATGGGAGATATCGAGGAATATCCCTGAAGAAACCTGTATGGATGAACACTGGAAGTCTTTGAAAGAGATATGGAAAGAAACCTGCACAGCCGTATTAGGAAGGAAGAAGAAAGAAGATAAGGAATGGATCTTGATGGATACCTGGAAGCTGATAGAGCACGGAAAGGAGGATGGTGAAGCAGAAGATAAACCAGTGCATGAATGCTCAACGACAAGAGGAACTGAGCACAATGTATAAAACACTGGACAAAGAAGTGAAGAAGAGTGCACGCAAAGACAAAAGAAACTTCTACGAAACACTGGCAAGTGAAGCAGAACAGGCTGCAGGTAGGAGAGAGAGACCTGACAACATTGTATCAAATAACCAGGTTACTATCTGGCAGGAAAGAGATCAACACAGATGAAACCAATAAAAGATGGTGAAGGAAATTTAATTACGAAAGAAGAGAAATAAAGGAAACGATGGGCCGACCAATTTAAGAAGCTCTCTAATCGACCACCGCCACCACCTGCACTTCGTCCAGAAATACCACCTACAGCCCAGCCACAGAACTACAAGTCAACATAAATCCTCCAACAAAAATGGAAGTCCTGAACGCCATAAAGCTACTGAAATGTGGGAAAGCAGCAGGACCAGATGCAATCCCACCAGAAGCACTAACAACAGATGCAGAGACAATAGCGGACATGCTCACACCACTATTGCAGAAGGCGTGGAAGTAAAAGAAGGTGCCTGCCAGTTGATTGGAAGAAGGGTTACCTTGTCAAACTGCCGAAGAAGGGAGACCTCAGTGTTTGCAACAACTGGCAAGGAATCACTCCCCTGTCCACCCAAAGCAAGCAAAATACTAGGCCCCATCATCCTGGAGAGGCTAAAAGATACACTGGATTCAAAACTACGAGCCGAACAGGCTGGCTGGCTGCCTTCAGGAAGTACAAATCATGTGCAGACCAAATTGCAACGCCATGCTCCACATCATTATAGAACAGAATATAGAATGGCAGTCAACTCTACACCTCAACTTCATCGACTTTGAGAAGGCCTTTGACAGCGTCGACCGAGAGGTAATTTGGAAACTGATTCAATACTACGGAATACCACAAACCTCTATCAGCCTCATTCAACAACTATATGAAGATGCCACATACCAGCCAAGTAGTAATTCACAATACGAAGCTCAGCTCAGTGATGCTTTTCAAGTGAAGACAGGAAGGAGTGAAACAAGGTTGCCTCATTTCACCCATGATATTACTCATTGTGGTTGACTGGACTGGACCATGCAACAAACAGTGAGGAGCGAGAAGACGGGGATACGCTGACTGGACAGGGGAAAAGAACCTAGAAGATCTGGATTTCGCCAACGATGACTTGTGTCTGACGTCACACAAACTTGAAGATGTACAGGCGAAAACTAACAAGTTGGCAGAAGAGGTGAGGCAGCGAAAAAATGGGACTTTCAGTGAATATAGAGAAAACAGAGGTGATGTGATGAAGATACCGCACCACCAACAACAACAACAAACTCCAATCACCATCAACAGGAGAAACTTAAATGAAGTAGTCTTCTTCACCTATCTCAGCAGCACTGTTTCAACTACAGGCGACACCACAGACGAGGATGTAACAGCTAGCCAGGATCGGAAAGACAGCAAGACAGGTGTTCATTAACCTGAAACCAGTGTGGAGATCTTCTGCACTGCACTCAGCATAAAGCGTGAACAAGATCCGGATTTTCAACACCAACATCAAGTTAATGCATCTGTATGTCTGAGAGACTTGGCGCGTTACGAAAGGGATTTCTAATAAATTACAGACATTCATCAACAACTGCCACCTACGCTGGCTCGCTACTGAAGATCAGATAGATTGCCAGAAAGAATAAGCAACAAGGAACTCTGGTCGGCTGGCTGGCAACGAACCAACGAAGCAAGAACCTATCGCTGAACAAATATGCAGTGGAAGGAAGTGGAGATGGATTGGGCATACACTTAGAACGCCGACTGTGGACATCGCGCTACAGGCCAGGGTGTCGAGTGGAACGCAGATGAGAAGCGACGAGTTGGGCATCCGAGGCAAGGGTGACATGGAGGAGATGGTGTGAGGAAGAAATGAGGGCTTGTGGGCTGTCATGGAGCCAGGTTGAAAAGATTGTAGAGAATAGAGTGCACTGGAGACGTGCTACTGAAGCCCTATGTTCCACTAGGAACCCAAGGGACTAATAATAATAAAAATACAAATAATAATAAGAAGAATAATACTGATGAACAGTTAAACTTCCACAGCAAACCTCCCCCTCTTTTTTTCCTTATCTCTCTCTCCCTCCCAATGTCCATCTGCATAACTAAGCTGAAAGAAGCTATAAGATATCCGTTTCAAGGTATTATGCTTAAGTGTGGATTTACTGTCTATTGCTTGTTTGATACCTACTGATAACCGGATTGGTGTAGGAGACAACATTTATAGAACATAAATAACCTTAAAAAGCTTATTGTTGTATATTCATCGCTGTACTGTCGAGACAACCAATTACGTTCCTCCATTCGGTAATTATCTATTCTATAGAAATTCAGGAAAAACTGATTGGCTACCCTAGCAACTGTTGAAATAACCAATCAAGTTGAGACACTTTGGCTAGGAATACAATTTATCACAGAATAGAGAAATGTGATTGGTAGTTTCACCAGTTGCTAGGGTGGCCTTTAAAATGGCTCTTAAGGGTCATGTTTAGAAAAACCTGGACACCGAGTTAGTACGCCAGAATTACGCAAGTAAAATACGCCACCGTCATACCATACATCTGTATACTGTTGCAAAAATGGGTCTGATATTGTGCCCATCATCATAGCGGGTAACGTGCAAAATCTACATGAGAAATAATAGGAAAGGTTAGTTACTCTAACAACTGCTGTAATCGTCGCGTGACTTTAAAGGCCACCCGGGCAAGTGATAAGGTAGTCAATCACATTCCTTTGTTTTATGGAAATGTACTTTGCCAGACGGAATGCCAAAGCCTGATTGGTCATTTCAACAGTTGCTAGGGTAGGCTTTAAAGTCGCTCGTAATCATCACTCATGTTTTTGAGTGACTTTAAAGGCCACCCTAAGAATAACCGAAATAACCACTCAGGGGGGTTCAATACTTCAGGTGGAAAGGTAAATTTCCGTACAAAAAAGAAATCTGATTGGTTATTTTAGCTGCTTCTTAAGGTGGTCTTTGGAGTCACTCCGTCCCTTAATTTTATTATTTTTTTAAACTGCTTTTCTAAACGAACGAGAGAGAGAGAAAAAAACCTGACTGATCATCTTAGTGACTGCTAAGATGTCCATTACAGCAATTAAAGAAAGAGTAGTGAAACAGACCAAGGTTACAAACCATTAGTTGACCGTCAATAACTTGGTCGGTCAAGTGCATTATGCACATTTATGTATACTCCCAACTGTTGATCGTGTATGCAGCAGCCATGTAGTCTACAAAATTAGAGTCACATCCAAAGTGTACATCCAGAA